ATTCAAGGTCAAAGGTCACGGGTCACATTGCACTTGACCCCATGCTTCTATGACTTTTAGTTTTAAAGTTATAAGGTTTAATAGTAAGCACAAAGACGTTAAAGGGCGATAACTCATATAAGGGGTCATCGGATACTTTCGCACTGAATAGATTGAAGTTGTGTCTAAAGACCCTGAAGACGTTAGTGAAGGTTTTGTGTCTCTACGGTTTATGGTTTCGAAGGAGTAGCGATAACAAGGTTTTCAGTAAAAGGGGCAATAACTTTTAAAGGGGTCAATCTTAGGGGACAAGTATGAAATCTTTGAAATAGTTTTAAGAGGACATATTAATGATGTAAAGATATTTAGGATATGTTGAAAGACAAAAGAGATATAAAAAGAGCTTAATTTCTCATATTTTGAATGACCTTGACCTTTGACCTTTGCATATATTTTAAGGTCAAAGGTCAATGAATCTTATGCAGTTGGTCCCATGTCTCTACGACTAATCGTTTTGAAAATTTTTAATTATTCGTAAGTTTCATAAACTTTCAGGGGCAATAACTCATAAAAGGGGTTGACGAATACTTTCGCAATGAAAAGATTGAAGAGTCCCCTCAATTAGTCGAAGACATTGGTGAAGGTTCCGTACCTCTACGGTTTACGGTTTCAAAGGAGTAGCGATAACAAGCTATTCTTGCGAAAGGGGCAATAACTTTGTAAGAGGTCATAGGTCAAACACGGGGGGTCGTTTTTCGGAATAACTTTTGATATCCAGTATTATGAACTATAAAGTTTTTCGATAAGTCTTGCGGTTTCAAAAGTCCGGGAAGAAAAAGAAGAAGAATAATAATAATAATAATAAACATAAGCATTTCAAGAGGTCTTTCCACAGAAAGGTGGAAAGACCTAATAATAAACATAAGCATTTCAAGAGGTCTTTCCACAGAAAGGTGGAAAGACCTAATAATAATAATAATAATAATAAACAGAAGAAAATCAATAGGTCTTTCCACAGAAAGGTGGAAAGACCTAATAAAGCACTTTCATGGAATTAAATTTGAAATCATGCCAAATGTAACACCGATACCCTTATTCCGTTTAATATCATTTTAAAGTAGAGATCAAGAAGATATGAAAAACCGTTTTCTTAGAGGCTGTGGGCAATATTGAAACATTTCCTTTGTCTGAGATGGAAAAAACTCCCATATTTATACCAGACTTTCTTCATTTTTCATTGAAAATGGGCAGTTTATAATGTTTTTCCGATGAGTTTACCCCCAATTATGTCCGGATACACCTTATTCTACCAAGCTATATTTGTAAAGGATCATTAAAAGAATGTGTATCTCAAATCTGAGAAATCTGTGGGCACTTTTCATTCACTAGATCTTGACCTTAAATCATTTTTAAACTTTAGTTTTTCCCCCAACCTATCAAATATTTTGAGGCAGTTTTATGGAGTACAGTATATGTGCAGGTAAAACATTCTGATACCTAAAGGGTTGTCTTAATTGGGACAAATAAATAAAATGGAAATATAGAATTCTATACTATGTATATATAACTAATGTATCATTATGAGTAATTCTAGAAAAATAAAAAAAAAGTGAAATATGTAAAATTAACACAGAGGCCAAAGCGTTTTATTTATGACAGGCAGCCTCTTTAGATTTCAGCTAGGTTGAGGAAAAAAAGACTATGCATTTTTGATTATGATATTAATAGTAAAAAAGTTCTTTTCAAATGTCTGATTTTGATTAATTCTTACCTAATTTAAGTGTTTTTTGAAATATGATAGAGTCTGGCGTAAACAGATGTTTTGAAGGTCATGAAAGCGTTGTGAAAAGTGCTGCCTTACATAAGCTTTATTTTCCAGGTGAACTTAAAATAAACGGAACAAAGATCGGATATTAATTTATGTATTTTTTCCCCAAAAATACATTAAACCTAATGTAGGTGTTGGTGTGTTCATAGACCTAATTTGATTCAAAAGATGTATTTAATATAAATGAAAGGTAGCTATTGACAAATTCTATCCGATGAATTATTCCAAAATACTTCATAAACACATCAGCGATTTACAGCGAGAACAAATATAAATTCTAACCCTAATTGATTATCTTGCTTTAAATGACAGCAAATTGCTGTTTAAAAAAATATTCAACGAACTATTAATACAAGATCCATGCATTTTGACATCATGTATAACTGCTTCTTGAATACGAAATGAATAAGAGCCACGAAGTATCAAAATCGACACCAGTCGTCAAAATAGATGAAACTTTCTCAATTAATACTCAAAGATTTGTAAGTTATAGAACAACATATTTTAACAATGAATCTGCTAGTTTTCTTGTACCAATCGTTTAAATTTAGTATTCTTTTCCTAATCAGTACTATCACGTCTTGACGTTACAAAATTTAACCTTCACATTATTTATAAGTAGGTAACAAACTTACGTAAATGGATTAAAATCCACAAATAGAAGCCCCTTTCCATTTTTTTCTTTCTCTCTTTTCTTTTTTTTTTTTTTAATTTTTACCATGATTTTTTCAAGAAATTCTGAAACATTGGATAGCTTTTTTAAAACTTAAAAGCTTTTTGTGATTTAAAGAAGTGCCAAATATATGTATTTGTATGTATTGTCTTTTAAATCGTGGACAACGCTTTTTTTTTCAATGAAAAATACAGAACACATTAGGCTGAAACTTTCAGCAAGTGTTGAGTAAACTTTTTCATGTGTGAAAATATACTAACAGTTAGAAATAAGAATTTTATCATGCTTTAATTGCTTAAAGTATGGTAGTACGGCGCACAAACAAAAATTAAGGGTTTCGTCAGAAAATATACAAATTACTAGTATATTCAATATCAAAAACGATGATTCAGCCATCACCGAAGTACAATATTTACCTCGCTCTTCCGGGCTTGGTGAATATTGAACTCCTAAAGTGTCTAAATCATTGTATTGGCCTAAAAACAGCAATGATTGTATAATAATTAGTCTAAGACCATTTGCATTTCAAAACATTTTTATACTTGCAAAAGCAATATAGAATCGTTTTCTTTTTTATAAATATGGGATAATCCCCGTAATTTTCCACTGTGGTGATCGGATTTTGAGAGATTTGATGGAAGGAAAAGTAGAAATTTCGATGTGTCCACGCCTTCGAACAAAATAAAAATATACTCTATGTGCTTTTATTTTTTAAATCTTTTTAATGGCATAATTTTTTATTTTGTTCGAAGGATGTGACCACAGCGAGAATCAGAAAAAGGAAAAAAATGGATTATTTTGACAAAAAAAAAAGCCAAGGCCACGTGTTTAGACGTTTACTGTTCAAATACAAAGTCATCAAATCAAAAACTCGGCATAAACTTTTTAAGTTCGATACTTAATAATAAATATTTCAATTGTTAAATTTCATCTCCACTTTAGTTCAATTTTCCTGAAAAATACGTCCCTTAGTGGTTCAACCTTTTTTCAGATCTTGTATTTCTAATTTACAAAATTCAATTGTTAGAAATCATTCTGATTCTACAAAAAAAGTCCTTGAAGCTGATATCAAAAAGATAGGAGTTCTTCATGGACAATAAATATCTAGATTTCGGAAATAAAGTCGTTCAAATATCTGTTGAAATTCCAAGGAGTTCAAATTGTGCATTTTTACCAACATACTTGTTTCAAATTATCAATTAACAATATTCAATTTCATTGATATATCGAAACTCTATGTCCTAGTAAGCTTAAGGTACCACATAATGTGCCAGATCTATTTCATATTTAAATGTTTTACTAGCTATAGACGTTCATGAGAAAATAATAAATAAATTAAATGACAAACAAAAAAAAAAGCTTCAGGTTTTTCACCATCAGCCTCACTTATTTATGTTTAAATATTTTACTATCACCTGAATTCAGTGTTTATGTCTCCGGCTTACATCGTTTAGTCATTACATGTAAACACGCTTAGAACGATGTGCCAGAGACTGACGATTTTGCTTCGTTATAAACATAATTCATTATATCCGTTCAGTTCACATGAATTATAGTGCAAGGGAAACCTAATGCCACGGGGAATGAACATCTTTTCGCTGTAAGCGTCAATTCATTATATGCGTGTTCGCTATAAGCGTGTTTTAATGTATTGTGAAAAACTGAAATACTTTCTTTCCTCAAATCATTGTAAACTTAAATAAAGATGCCTAGGTATGATATATTTAATTACTACAGTAAACAAGTGTTTGTCGTGTCGTCATATGTTTTTTCTGTTTAGATGTCCTAAAGTTCCTTTGATCTGTCCGCCCGTCACACGTTTAGCGCAGTTTAAACAACTGTTTAAGATATTTTATGAAAATCTGTACACTTACAAATGTACCTGTTGGTGATGTAAAGACAACCAATTATTTTCAGAAAAATCTTCTGAAACTATGTATTGAAAGAACATTATTGTATTTAAGATACTTGTAACTCGGGAAAACTAAACACAAAAGGAAAGAGTATTAATGCAGCATCAATACCCAAACTTTGTGAAACATTTATTGTAAACTCAACAAATCTTTTTCTTTGATTGAAAGCTGAAACATATGATAATATTACTCAAACACTTAAGTATTTGAAATTTTTAAGACGTTCTGTCTGCATGGACGAGATGCCAAAATTATAAAGGAGGGGCTCTGCAAATTCTTGAAAGACTATTGAATTCCAGTAAGACTATTGATCAGCTACTCATGATGTCCTGCTACTTATTTTACAGGAAAAATAATCATGCCTTATGAATAAAAGTTTACAAAAGCAGCAATCTGATCCATTAACGTATATTTACATGCAACGAAATATTGTTTTAATTCGTAAACTTCTCTATAACCAACGACTGGAGGTATGCGTGCACTGATAGTTGAACAGGGAAATGGTTAAATTGCTGTCACTGGACGAACCTTGACAGGCATAAAAAACAAAGAACATTAGGTAAAGAGAAAGATTTATTCGAATGAAATAAGAGTTTGCCAGATTAAAGAAAAGAAATAATAGTAAACAATTATCTAATCAAAATACATGTTAACAGTCGTAAAAAACAGGAATGTTTAATATGCATAGAAAAGCAGTTCTGTTGTCATTCATTTATGCTGTTGTGAGGCAACTTCGCCATCTGTAGCAGGAACAGCATTGTGGGTACCACCTGTAAATCAGTCGAAAGCCATATCTTGGACACCACACCCAAAACCTCAGTTTGGTCCATCCATTTCGGACGCATCTACTCCTGTATAATTTGCTTCCGTAGCAATCACTACAAACATGCAAATGAAAACTTAAGTTATGTTAATGTTTTATATATATAGAAAACATTAACCCGATGACATCACATTGTATTTACTTTTTAATATTGAGCTCTTCAATTATGAAGGTCTTCATTATAGTATAAAACGAGAAGAATCAAATAAAAGTTGTAAATATATATTGAACATTCTAAATGTTGTATGATCCTGTTGAAATAAAATCATACCTTTCTCCACAGATTGCATAGGTCACCCTTTGTCGTCTCGGATACACAACATAGCACGTTTGGAGGTTAACAATAACGGTTGTGATGAAGCCTAGTTTCCTTGGACAAGTATCAAGGGCCATGTGTTTGCTTTAGAATAGATAGATTTAAATCATTAATGTAGGCACTATTTAATTTTTATTAATTACCTTCAAGCTGAGATGTAACAAAAGCTGATAAATATACCTAAATTTAAGGTCAATTTATAGTAGATAAAATATCGACTTACTTTTCGATTGGCTCTTCTCTCTCCGCGGATATTTCATTCAATGAATTTTGGACCTCAATGTCTTCTTTCAAGGCAGCATCAATCTTTGTCCTAGATTTTATATATATATATATATATATATATATATATATATATATATATATATATATATATATATATATATATATATATATATATATATATATATATATATATATATATATATATATATAACTAATTTCATTAAATTAGTTAGAAATCATAAGAAAATCATAAGGTTTCACGATTATACACGAGGTCACGATGTGCAGTTTACTTGTAATCATAATTCAAACTATCTTCATTTTTATTTAAAGCATAATTATAAATTTATTACCGTATTTTATTCCTATTAACTGACACAAAATTACTCTTCAATAACATTTGTTATTTTTTAGGCGCTGAAAGCATTAAAAGTATCATTTCTTGGAAAATTTGTCTTAATATTTCTTTCATCTTAAATGTTTCTTCTTTTTTTTAAAAATAATTCTTCGATTTCATTTCAATAACTTTTTATATTAATACTTTTTTGATAGAATATAATATTGTATGATTTACTTCTTCGTAGGTTATTAGAAGCGATAGTTAATTCGTTCTGTAGTGTAAATTGTTTCACCAGAATTACCAGACAGACTTTATGTGTTTCATAAAGATTCGGATTTTTCCATATCAATCCTTTCTCAACTTCTAACTTAGAAATGTAAATTTTTAAAATTAATAGTTAGAAAAAAATTAGTCAGAGTAATTTATAACGAGTCTGATAACAAGGAAGGCGTTTTCGTAAGAAAAACACAAGGTCATGTTTGTAAAAAAGAAAAAGTACGTTGAATACAAAAATTTACTAATTACACACAGAATGAAATAATACATTTAAGGACATGTGCTATTTTTTCATGAATGTTCATAAATAGCTCTTTAAGAGCATCATTGTTTGAAAGGTGTATTATATAAACCTGTATAGATATAGAAAGAATTTTTTAAATAACAAATTTTCATTGAAATTGATTTTTGCTTTCTGTGTCTAACTTTCCCTACGTACATAATCTTGCTATTGCAAAAGGTTAACTACATGTAATTGTATATGGGGATTGGGGGTAAAATTCATATATACCTATTTTGCTACAGGCGTAACATTGTTTTTATTTTAAAATAACATTGCGATAACATATAGCTACAAAATGTAATAAAACAGAGAGACCTTTTTGGGTTATTTACCGGACACTTAACTTTTGCTTCCAGAAAGTTTTCATTGATATGTTGCTTGTAGACTTGTTTTTTAACATCTTAATAATACATCTCAAACTTTCTATATGGCTAAAGTTTCTGTGTAAACAATCATGGGAAAGGGCATAACTTTCCATTTATTTTAGCTGAGCTACATGTATTTGAGAACACAAGAAATACCTCGGTTATTAGAATAACTTACATAATATCTTTCGTCTGTTCATCTGTTCCACCATCAATGCTCCGCTCTTTTGGATCTTCCAATAGGCATTTAGTGTCTTGGCCATTGCAATAAACAAAACACACCACAAGGACAGCAACTATCAAAATCTGTAAAAAAGAAAAAAAAAAAAAAAGAAGGAAAATATATGTACATATTCGATACATATAATATAAGGCATTTCATGAGAACTTTTACATAGAATTATCGTAATACCTATGACTATACTTTTTTCCAGTGAAAACAACTTTTCAGAATGGAATGCACAGAATTTATTACTATTATTTATTTATTAATAGCAACAATGAGCAAGTGAAGACTATTTCTTACTGGGATTTTTGAAGTGAATGAATGGAATGTATAATTGAAAATTAATAACATATTTTGAACACAATACTTTGATTTGCAACATCAATTTACATCTATATCAAAACTTAACTTCAGTACAACTTAAGTCCGATTTTTAACCTTACCCTTAAAAAAAGCATGTTTAAAAATATCTTAATATTCAAAAGCATTTTGAAAAAAAATACCTTCATTTTCTTCTTTCTTCAGCCGATGCACTTACGATTGCACTTCTCTGTTTTATCGTCTTTTATAGTGATAGGTATGAAAGTAGGTGTTGTCATTTAGCCAATCAAAATTGACTATGAGAAGGATATTGTCGATGTTTTGAATACCCGATCATGCGTTTTAAATGGCGAATTGAATACATGTACATAACCTGAAATTAAAAGTACAAAGTAACTCAAACATAATTAGGTCTAAGGAGTCAGTGATATAAATAGTTTAAAGTATCCATGTAGTAATTTAATTTAATTGATGTGAGAAAAAAGTGAAAATTAAAGCACAGAATAAATTGTAAAATGAATATACATGTATTTCATATTTATTGGGGACAAAGTATTTTTCAAAGGGACAGGAATAATTTTTTTTTATATTTATGAATAAGAACTTGCAGGTTTTCTTATGTTTATTGTTCGTGAATATTGGATTTATCCTTTAACAAGATCAGAGTGGCACTCTTTGCAAATAACAGTTATGAGTACTTTTATTCTTATTTTTAAAAATTCAATGTATGATATAACAGAATATAATAATATTATTATTTATTTATTTGTTTTTCTGCTCTATGTATCAGATATCTGGTTAAAAATATTTCAAAAGTTTATGAATTATGCTAAAAATTGTCAATTCTACTTCATTCAGAATTCTTGTTGCTTTTCATCGTTTGATCGTCCATAGATATTTTGAACAGGTCTCAAACTGTCTGATATTTTTTCATACAGAACTGTATGAGGCATATATCCATTACATATGAAAGGTTTTACCAACCTTGTTCGGTAAGGTATTGACTGAATACTAGTATTTTCTTATATACATATAGGTATCTTTCATGACTCAAAGTTCATCTTTGATCATTTCAATCTAATAAAAGAGACATACCACAAATTACAATCGAATTTAAACAAAGAGACAGTTAAAGCATAATATCTTATCATAGAACTTATCAATACCGTTTCTGAATATCAGAATTCAATACACCGAATCATATACATGTATATTCCTTTGAAACCTGTTTAGTCACTTTAATTCAAAGTTATATAGTTCAACTACTGCATGAGTGTTCACTGTGTACCAAGTCACTTCCTGTGTATAGGGATTAGCAGAAAACACGACCGCAGGTAGACAGCTAGCCCTCGAGGCAATCGATCACACCTGTAAAATTAAGTCCCACCCTCACCTGAGATTTACCACCCGGTAAAAAGTCTCTACCTTTCACATTCCCTCGCTAATAAATGAATTCTTTAATAACCTTTAAGTGAAAATTTCCACAAATCAGAATATTGAAATAACATGAGCGATAAATTGGCGACTGAATTCAATTGTTTTATTCGTTCACCTGTTTTATTCCTTTCGAAAAACATCGCGTGAAACAATATTCATTCTACTGTGTTTATTCTGTTCAAAATCTAAAAAAGGATGACAAAATATAAACTTTCATAACAAGCATTTTTCTTTTGATTGTAGGCATGATCAATATCAAATCTGCAACTTTATATAATTACATTAAATAAAATAAAACTACTGTATACAGGGAAATTTTCGCTCCCGTTTTATTTTAGCCCCTTTCGCCCTACCCTCATTTGGGCGAATCTAAATCGGGCCGAATTAAAGGAATACAGTATTATTTCTTAAACAAAACTATGACTGGGCGAATTTAAAACGGGGCAAACTTGTTTGCAAGTGTGAAAGGGCGAAAATAACACGGGGCGAAAATAACCCTGTATACAGTATATATTTACGAAGTATGAATCTGTTATCAAAGGTGGGGTTCTTAACGATTTCTTGAATCTCGATAATGAGGACGCTCTTTTTTACGGACTTTATACATACTTAGTCAGTGCATGTTTGTCTATAATTGTTCTCTGTTTAACAGGAGTTGTATATTTGCATTTATTTAGTTTGTTTGTTTGTTGTTTACATGTAACGTCCCTCTCGAGAATTTTTCACTCATATGGAGATACCACCACTTGCCGGTGGAGGGTTGCAAATTTATACCTATTCACGGCAGTTAGGGCCATTGAGCAGTGAGGGATCTTTTTCGTGTCACTATCTACTGCGCCTCGGTGTACACGGTCTCATCCGAATGACCGGTCTCCACGTCCCGCAGCGGAATTGAACCGGCGAATTAAGGATCAGCTCTATAATACTGAGTCAAAAGGAGATTTCATAGACAAACATGCTCTCATGGTTTAAAATGAAACAAGTATTCAAGCTCAAAGTCCATTAAAACAATACGAATCGGGAGCAGGGCAAACACGGACCTCCAAAAACATCAGAGGTGGGATCAGGTGCCATGGAGGAGTGAGCATCCCCTGCCGACCGGTCACATCCGTCGTGTGCTCCTTGTCATGATCGAGAAATAATGGAAAAATCCGTCGACAATTCAGTGTGTAAATATTGGCCTAATAATTAGTATGAAAAACGTCAGTCAGCATATGACTTTATAGTTAATGATAGATTTTAAAGAGAAAAAATGCTTCTTCTTACATTCGCTCTCTTTATTGTAAGCAAAGGTTGTGACATGTTGAATATTATAATTCACCTCCTGATTTCTTACCTCAGGTAGCTCTGTGGATACTAATTTCCGTCACGTGACTTGAACAATTGCATGTTTTGTTAACTAGGACGATGTGTTCGAACACGTTGAATTGTATGACATCGATTTAAAATCTTCCTATCTTAAGGTATGTCACTCGTGAAATTAGTTATATCAAGGATTTTTTGAGAAGTATATTTTAGATAAGTACTCATATAACATGAATCAAATTCGCAAAGAAAAGGGGGGGGGGGGGTGTCAGTGTGCATCTTATTGAGCTACAGTACAATTAAGTTGACCTTTTTGCACTTAAATTATAACTCTTTGGTTAATCACTTTAATCTTTTTCATATTTTATCAAATGTAATTATGGCAATGAATATAACCTTATTTTACGTAAAATAGTTTGAGTAATATTTATCATTGAACAAATCAGGCAAATTAATGCGCATAAATTATTGTGTGACCTTTTTGCACTAAACAACGTATCATATCTGGGTATAAAATATCTGAATAGGCAGCAAAACCTTTTCTTGTATCAAACTTTTTATGACTTAAGTGCTGATCGGTTGAAAGTATCGTGCTGTTTAAGATAATGAAAGAAAAAGTTGGGGTCAGTGATGTAAATTTTTGAGATGTTGGTCAAAATGTGCGATTTTCAGGCAAATTTTTTTTTATCTTGACTTCTTTAATATATCTTCATTTCTTGGCAAGTTCTGTTGAGTGAATGTGTAAAATTTGTTCTAAAAATATAAAATGAGACCTATATTTAATATTCCTAGCATATCATAACGGAAAGTATTTTCTGGGTAAAAATATGTGGAATGAAATATATGGAGATAACAAACAGTATTCAAGCTTAAAAGTCCATTAATCAATACAGAATAGGAGCAGAGCAAACACGGACCTCCAAACATCAGAGGTGGGATCAGGTGCCATGGAGGAGTGAGCATCCCCTGCCGACCGGTCACACTCGCCGTGTGCTCCTTGTCATGATCGGGAAATAACGGAAAAATCCGTCGACAATTCAGTGTGTAAATAATGGCCTAACAATTAGTATGAAAAACGTCAGTCAGCATTTGACTCAATGATAAATTGTATTTGCTGACAAGGTCATTGTATCGACCATAGAACTTACGAAATGATGACTTTAAACGAGACAGCTGATATTCTTGTTTCATCAACTTATTTGTCAATAATTTACCTCGCTTTAGAAATTGTACATACGTAGAGCATGCTCTTGCTTATCGAATCAACTAAAGTTCCAAGACATTAAATTTAACACGTGTAGATTTGAAGAATCTTCTTCTAATTATCCTTCCACCACAAGAAATAGTCCCTCATAAATCTTGCTTCTTCACGGATTTGTGAGCAGTTTTTTAATTGAATGTTGAATAATTTGGATTGTTTAATTTAAATATGTTACAAAAATCGAATTGTAATAAATAGTTTTGAAGTTATAGGTTCTGACTGAACTTTTCTATAAAGCTGACGAGTGACAAACCTTAAATGGATGTGCTCATATTGTTAATTTCTTTTTTTTTTTAAAACCTTTTCAAATAGTATATTTGTGCCAAACAAAATAGAGAGGGAATAGAGAAAGAGAAATACCATATTCATGTATTTATGCTAAATAAATCTAATTTTAGACTCTTGCAATGTTAACGCCACCTCTCATGCATACCTAACGTTCAATCAATGCAAATAAGCTTAAATTTTCTGTATTTGGAAAGCAGTAAGCAACATAGAATTATTTTATTGTATCACAGTCTTAAAGAATTTCAACATTTAAATTTGATGTCAAATTGACTGGATTATTTAATATATATATTAAAGTAAAATAAGGTTAAGATATGAAAAGCAACAGAAGCGACCGAAAAAGCCGGTGTTAAGTGCAGTCATCCTTTTTCATTTAATTTGCCGGTGACTGCTTGCTTTATTAAAAAAAAAACATGATGCAAAACGATTGAGTTTATCCTAATATTCCAAGTATTGAAATGTGAAAATAACAAACAGTTATCATACTCAAATGTCCAGTTAAACAACGCAAACTATGAGCAGAGCCAACACGGATCTCTGAAAACAGTGGTGGAAGTAGGTACCATGAAGGAGTGAGCATTTCTTGTTCTATGTACATAATACCCGTCATGTGCTCTTTGTCATGATTGGGTAAACGGAAAAATCCATAGACAATGCAGTGCGAAAATTATGGCTTATCAGGTTCGAAAGACGTAATCAACATTATATTCGACTTAATGACAGATTTTGCAAACAAGGTCATTGTATCGACCATAGAATTTGAGAAATGTTTACTTATTTGTCAATAGCTTTCCTCGTTTTAAGAATTGTTCTTACTAGAACATGCTTTTGCATATCAAATCAACGAAGTTATAATAAAACTAGTTTAAATATATTTGAGTTAAACATGTCTTTTAAAATATTGTGGTGATTTTTTGTTTGTTTTTGAAAAGTCCAAACATTTCATTAACAACTTGTTGAAGGATCATGCATTCCAAAATAATTTTTATGTCTTTTGTCCTGAGTATTGTGTTTAAAAGAACACATCAACGATGCTTATTTTAAACTTTCAAAAAAACAATTTCTCTGTATAATTCCTTCTAGACCTGATTTAAGACCACTGTGAATTTCTTAAGAGTACACATATTAATGATCTGTACTCATAGGCAGGTGGGTTCACTTTGATATTGATATGCAATTAACTAAAAAACATTTTCTATGTATCAATGGAAGAGAGTACTTTTATCATATTTTTATTGGTAATAATTGTAAGGATTCGTAGTACCATTGGATCTTATCAACTATTCACACACATTTACTATTATGAGGGATTTAAAACAAATTCAAGATAAAATCATATTTTATAATCATAATTTGATACATATTGATCATAATAAAAAACTTGAAAACATAAACATATTGAAAACGTAATTGAAAAGTCGATTTGTAGGATTGGTCACTTCGTACATATCTTACTGGGGTTTTTTATGATATAAAACGTGTACTTTAAGTGACCAATTGCGCAAATTTATAATAGCCAAACATGTGGAATAGATATATATTGAGGATTTTCGATGTTTTATAGATGGATATAGAAATTATTTCACAAATTAGACAGAATTTTTTAAAGAAACATGGAGATAATGAACAGTACCCAAGCCCAAAATAAAAATCGGGAGCAGACCAAACAGGGAGTTCATGATCAAACATCATCAGAGGTGGGATCAGGTTCCATGGAGGAGGAAGCATCCCCTGCCGACCGGTCACACCCACCGTGTGCTCCTTGTTATGATCAGGAAATAACGGGAAAATCCGTCGACAATTCAGAATGTAAATAATGGCCTAATAATTAGTATGAAAAACGTCAGTCAGCATACATGTATGACTTAATGTTAGATTGTATTTGCTGACAAGGTCATTGTATTGACCATAGAATTTACGAAACGATGACTTTAAAGGAGACTGTTGATATTCTTGTTTCATCAACTTGTTTGTCAATAACTTACCTCGTGCTAGTGCTTAATGCTAGAATCAGTAATGGTATTTTTCCATCGAAGTTGAAACAAGCAAAAGTCACCCCTGTATACAAAAAGGGCAACAAAGCAGACCCCGGTAACTACCGTCCCATTTCTATACTACCAACATTATCTAAACTAATTGAAAAGCACATAGCAAACCAAATGCGAGATTTCACCTCAACTTTTGATATTATAACAAAATCTCAATCTGGATTCAGAAAATTTCACTCTTGTCAAACAGCACTTACTAAATTAACTGATGCTTGGTTGCATGCTATGGATCAAGGTAATCTCATAGGCATAACATTTTTGGATTTCAGCAAAGCTTTTGATTTAGTGAGTCATGACATTCTTATAGATAAATTAAGGTAGTATGGGATACCTCCACGTTATGACGTATTTCCGTTTGAAGTATTGTTTTGATTTGCATGAGTGCTTATTATCTGGTCAAAATTTGTAGATACACCGTTGAAAAGAACACTCTGAAGCCTATTTCAATGCAAGTTCTCACAAGTCGGCATTTTAAGTAAAAACAGACAAAAAAAATCGCAAGTATATAAATTTACTTATAATTGTACAGCGGACATTTAAAAAAAGCAAACCCCTGTAAAAGGTAGTTTCAACATTGCTGCTTTTGAACACTTTTAAGCAAAAGCTGTATTTCAATTGTTTGAGTAACTGTACAGCACCTTGTGTGCGGTGAGGCATGGATAAGTGCGATTACTTCACATTGTGCTGAATTATCACCAATCAATTATCACGTTCACCAGAGCTGGACTTTTTTGTTATTTAATTCAAGAAGTAACTGTTTGGTCACAAATCAGTTAGCTGTTGTATATAGTCCCAAACCTTCAGATGAATGCAATTGCTCTGAACAAGACACGTCCTGGAAAGCGATTGTCCATGCATTGTTTTCAAAACCGCTCAAAGTTGAAAACTACAAAGTGCGATTTTTTTTATGTTTGGGAAAAAATGCTCATCATTTCTAAAATAGCACCCAGGTTTTTTCAACCCTTGGAAAATAAAGAAGGATAACTCTTCCGCTCGGATCTTTTAATTCAAAAAATTTTAAATGCATTTTATATTTTCCATTTATATACATATTTTCAATTTGTTTATTTCACTTTGCTAACATATTAAGAAACATTCTTATTGTAGACTCTCATGAAATGTTATCCGTCTGTTTTCAAGAAATAAAGTTTTCCCAGTTTTTTACGCTTATTTTTTGTTGAAAATTAAAAAAATACTAAGACATATTTCTTGTCATTTTTGTTTTTATAAACACTTTATATTAGCAAACGCCTGCCTATAATATTAAGCTTATGAAAAAAGAATTATGCAAGAAAAAAAATCGTTTTTGCATATCTCATTAAAATAATAAAAAAATTATTAAAATTACACTTTAATATACTGAAAGGTGGGGGTATTTCAAATCCTTCTAATTTGGGTACATAAATATGTAGGAGAAGTTTCGTTTGGTATCCCATACCACCTTAAAGAATTACAACTTTGATGAATTGTCAATTAAGTGGTTTCACTCGTATCTGAATAACAGGACACAATGCGTTAAAATTGGTACATCTTCTTCTGATGTCTTACCTGTCACAGCAGGAGTACCACAGGGATCAATATTAGGTCCCTTATTGTTTTTGTTGTATATAAATGACCTTCCCTTACATATATGTCATACAAAAATTGATATGTTTGCTGATGATGCAACTCTGCATGTTTATGAGAATAATATATTGAGTATTGAAACAGCTCTAAATTCTGACTTAGTAAATATTGAAAATTGGTGTTTAGAAAATCAAATGGTTTTAAATGTCGATAAAACAAAATGTATGCTGATGGGAACTCAACGAAGAAAATCGAAATTAAATAATCCAAATCTCAATTTACATGTCTCTGACAAACACCTTGACAGTGTTGAAACAGAAAAACTACTTGGGGTACATATAGATCAAACGCTAAATTTTCATAACCATGTTGACTCAGTCTGCAAATCTTTAACATATAAATTATATACCTTGCTAAAAATCAAGAAATTTCTTCCTCTGAAAACTAGAAAACTGTTTTACAATGCCTTTATCCTGATTTCTATTAATCATTGTCTGACAGTCTGGGGTAATGCACCAGCTAGTAACTTGGAGAGAATTCATAAGTTCCAAAAACGGGCCGCTAGAATTATTCTTGATGCTGCCCCTGATGCTCCATCTAAGGTATTATTTGAAAACTTAGGCTGGCTATCTGTGTTTGATTTAGGAACTTTACACAAATGTATCTTGTTGTACAAAATATTTAACAACCAGAGCCCTGCTTACCTGCAAGATTTATTTATTTTTCAAACTTCTGATGCTTACATCAGAATCTAATTTTGACCTTCGCCTTCCAAAACACCGTACTAATTTGTTTAAAAATTCCCTCCAGTATTCTGGTGTTCATATTTGGAACAGTTTGCCTTTAGATTTAAGATGTGCACTAACTCTGTCAGTCTTTAAACGAAATGTAGAAAAATATATCTTCAACAATAGAATTTCATTACTCTGATTTATATCTTTTGTATATGTAATTGTGTCAAATCTTACAAATGTATATTAATTTATTTGTCATCATAATATATTTGTTTATTATTATGATGTTTGTCATTACTATCATGTGACATTGTTTGTGTATTATATTTCAATTGCTAGTTGTTAATCTTTACTACTTTGATATACATGTGTAATATTGTTGTAATTAGAAGGCCCTGGGGAAGAATAGTGTGTCACACTAATCAGGCTACCTTCTCTAAATAAAGTATTATCATTATCATTATCGTTTTAGAAATTGTTCATACGTAGAGCATGCTCTTTCGTATCGAATCAACTGAGCGATATACATCCCATAAAGGTATATTGCTGCATAAATAAGGGAAGCTGACGATTGAAAAGTTAAAGTCATCACGTTTATCATAAAACTTTGTTGTTAGATTACCATTAACGTCTTTTTCTAGTAAAATATCCAAATATGAAACAGATGAGTCAGACTCTGTGGTATCCATTCAGGCTAACTGGGATGTAACGTGTCGACATATGAATGGAAATTACTATTGTTAATTGATAATACGTCGTCGATATATCTAAATGTGGAGTTGAAAGCCACAACAAGAGATTTCTTTTTCTCATGCATAAGATTTTGAATAAATTTTGCTTCATATAAATACAGAAGTAGGTCTGCTAATAAGGGGGCGCAATTGGTACCCATGGGAATTCCAACAGATTGTTGGAAGACATGGTCTCCGAAAACCACATAGATATCGTCAATCAGAAACTCAAGCATCTTTTTAATATCAACTTCAGAGTACTTGTGTGTACAATCAGAGTGTTTTTTAACAAAATAATTTTGCAAATGGCCAATGACACGGTAAGTAAATTTACGAGTTCCATTTTTATTGGAAAAAAAAGCTGTCAATGCTGTCAAAAAGCCTGGACTTCAATTTATCGTTGGGGAATGGTGTATACAGAGTTGAAAAGTTGCATTAGAAGTTTTTATGTTATTGATTTTGGATTTGTGATTTCAAATTTTTTAAAAGTTCCTTAGAATTTTTAAGTATCTAAATCTAATCTACACCACTTCTCGAATACATTGTCGGACAGTACTCCTGAAGTTTCGCCTTCACTGCTGTTAATATTTTAGTGAGGTGTAAAGAAAGAGGCTTGGTAGAACATTTACTGTAACCCCGCTATGTATCTTTGTTTGTAAGGATTTTAAGAAGTTTCGGAATCCAATATAAATATGGTAATTCAAATTTATTTGGGTTGCTGGGAATATTAAAAATATTCAAAACTGACATATGATTTTAAAGAATTTCCTGTTTAGAAAGGGAGGTATGGGTATAAGTTATTATGGAATCTTTGAATATTAGCCAAAAAATGTTTTTGTGGCAATAGCTAGGAGGTTGTATATACTCTTTTGTAAAATGACTTACTGAAGAAATGTATTTTACGAAGTATTGGCATTTGGTCTGATGTAAAGGTTGGGCTGGTTCTATAGTCGTATTGAAAAATGAAGATTGTTAAAATAAAATTGGAAGACATGATTCGCTCAAAATTGGTCCTTTTTCAATTCAATGCTTAAACGTTACATTCATATTATATTTATTTTTCTGCCTTTTAAAAAATATATTTAAACCTCATATAAGAATTGGTGCGTGTAGATACATATCCAGTTCATTTAACTAGATGTACGAAGGTAAATATTTCTATTCAAAGATTCTGGCCAATGAAATAGGTTTTAATTTTATTTCATTTATTTCCGGGATGTAACGTGAGAAAAATAAAAGATTAGTGTGTATGATAATATTCAGATTTAAACTTTATTGACTGTCCTACAAAGATATGAAAAGAAGAACAAAAGAAACTTAAAGCAGAGGGAAAAATAGCCATAATTTATGGAAATGTCGTCTGTAAAAATGAAACGATAAGGTTTGAATTTCTACATATTAATAATGTTTAAATTGTTACCAAAGTATTTGTGCGCAGTTTAACCATAACGATTACAAATCAAAGATTTACTTAGGATGTTGTTATTGATGAAACCAGCTGAATCAGGAAAAAAAACTTTGATCGAAAACTTTTTAAAGAAAACTTAATTAAGAATGGTATGGTTCCGATCTCATATATTATAACACCTAGTAATTATAATCATGAATTTCTATCTTACATGTATATAAAAAATGCACTAAGCTGCTTCAAATTTAAATGTATCTTTTAGGAAATACTGTCCCGACAGACCAATCTCAAAGGCGAATCCAGTGCCCCCCCCCCACCCCACCCCCTCCGCGTTTTAATTTTTTTTTATGAGAACTTATATGTCCATTATCCTAAAATCAAGGGAAAAACACCTATTATTTGTAAGAATTCCTCAGCTTCCGGGGGCTTCGCCCTCGGAATCCAACCAGGGCTATGCCTTGGACCCACTGGGGTCCCAGACCCTCCCTGCATTCTACTGCGCCCCCCCCCCTCCCCCGTTATGAAATTCCTGGATCCGCCACTGAATCTTAGTGTTTGTAATTGATCAGTCAATCTAGAAATACAAGTCATGTATACCTAGTAAAAATGAAAGGTAAAGTTCAGTTTGCTATAGCTACGTGTATTTGTCGTATTAATTAATTAGAGTGTACATTTAAACCTGACATGGCTTACTCTTAAAATGACTATTCTGTAATTAGATATTACCAAACACAATTAAGTTGAACCATTAAAGTTGACATAATCGCAGTGTTTATTGTCCCTTTGACATCATCAATTGTAACATTTTTCATAGAATTGAGTGAAAACGACTCCATTTTAGGATTCTCAAGCTATTGCAATTAAGGGCATACGCAATGTTCCATACCTACTGATAATTTTTTAAGATGTTATAGTATACCATTACATGTTTACAGGCAAAAAATCAGTATGCATTTTCAGGGGTTTTGAATAGATATCAGATGAAAATTCTCGTGTTATTCAAAGAAAAATGTTCAAAAACTACTAAACATATATTCTAGATGTCTTTTCATCCAAATTTGTTTTAGAATATGTGTACAGCACAAAATATCTAGATAATAGAAGAGTAGCACACAGGTCCTTCTAGTATTGGAACTATTCAAATCCAGGGAAAAGACAATAAAGTTCAAAGTACGTTGCGTATGTCCTTAATTCATAATTTTCACTTTAGATATTTCAATTCATTTATAATATTTAGGAAAAAAACAAATCAAATTCGTGGAATATGTTGAAAGTTTTGCGAGAATGGTAGTTTGATTTTAAAGTAGAGAAATCAATAAAAAAAATATGGAATTTTATGCTAAAATTATAGTTAATGAGTCCTGGAGTCGAAAGGTCAAATGTAAGAAAATTAACTGATGTCAGAGCAATTTTTCTTTCACAATATCCTGAGTACTTGGACAAATATATATACTGAAAGGAAAAAGAAACGCAGGGTAACATATAATATGCGAAATTTTTTGACCGCATAACCGAAAATTACGAAAATTGCCAGATGAGAAACTTGGTTACTGTGCACTTAAATCAGTGTTCAGAATTACTCAACCGTGAAATGTATGAGTCACGTAGGGAAAATGGTAAAAAGCCAAAAACACGCCAAAATTGATGACGACAAAGAGCTCTTTGTCAACACATTTTGTTGTACCATTTGATGCACTTCAGGTATACACATTGTTTTTCGATATTTACAGACGATATGAATTTCTTGCAATCATGGTACAATTTACGAAAGTTCCATGGGGTCTGGCTTTTACATCGCCTAAGTAAGGAAAAAGGCAACAACGGGTTGCTGTGCAGTTTCTTGTAAATTTTCCCAAATAGATAGTCTTACCCGTCTTCAGAGAGATCCTGGAATGGTTTCCAATCAACCATGACGATGACGTAGACGCGTAACATAGCCACGTCAGGATCGGGTTATTCATCTTGCCACCTGTTTATTTGCAACCCTACTTCCACTAAAACTGCTTTAAATACATTAGGCTATCGTAATCATTTCATTCACCCTAAAACTGAAAGAATCCGATTGCGTGATTTTGTTTTTTGAGCTTGTCAACTTTGCGTTAGTGTTCCTCTCAATGGTGCATGTGCGCGTCGTTTGCCTCATTGTTTCAGCGTGTTTACCCCGGGCCTAATGTAGTCAGGGTTTGTCAAGACTTTCTCGCAAACAATCACATTTACCAATACCTACTCGACTGGTCTCGTAAAGTCCAACTTTTTTCTCATTGAACATCTTTGGGACTAAATGGATAATAGGGTTCGAAATGCCCAAGCTGGTCTCTTCATAACTCATGAATTATAAGGCAAAATCAAATGAGATTTTGGTTACATTTTCATGAAAGATGTTTTTAAATGTTAGGCAGGAATACTGGAAAATACATAAGAAAAAAGAAAATTATATCACCTCAATCACTATTAGTCTTTTTTGCTTTATAATGTACCCTATATATATATATATATATATATATATATATATATATTATATATATATATATATACTGAAAGGAAAAACTCATTTAACGATACCCCTCTGAAGTGAAAATCGAAAATTCTCATTATCTTCAATGTCTCACTCGTGCATCTGTCAAAACCTTGATTCGTCTTTGCATGGATTTCATCAAATGAATGTGTTTATCCTTCAAACTGGGATATTATTCAACCCTTTCCACAAGGCATCCCTTAGTTGAAAGAGA